CTCTTTCACAGGAGTCACCTAAGACCATCGGAAAACACTTATTTCCAATGGTCTTAGAAACTGAGACACTGCTCCTCCATCCGTCTCCAGATGGGTCCCCCCACATGCAGATACGCCCACCTACGAGTACCCGGTGTGAGGTCTATTACCCATGCCTCACCATGCTTCAAGACAAATTTCATTGATTTGTCATTAGAAATAAATATTTCACAACATATAGTTACATATTGTTTTTGTGATGAATCAATCACTATGCTTTAATTATGTTCCATTTGTAGCTATGAAAATACATCCTGCATGTCAGATAGTTACATTATGATTCATAACTAGCAAAATTACAGTTATGAAGTAGCAACAAAAATAATTTTATGGTTGGGGGTCACCACAACATGTATTAAAGTATTAAACTCTATTAAAGGGGTGTGGCATAAGGGATGTTGAGAACCACTGCTTTAGAAGGTATTTCGTCTCAGGTTTAAAGATGATCTTGGTTTACAGACTCCCCCCAACACACCCTCCTGAAGGAAACAGGGAAGACATGGGCGCTACAGCAAAGAAACACGATGGTGCCCAGCTATCAGAAGGGCAGTGCCTAGGGTCTTAGAGGCTTGTTTTCAAACAAGCAGCTATCTAATGTCAAAGCACACCAACATCTATGATCCAAGGATTGTACATAATATCAAATTTGAAAGAGGGAATGGTATCAGCTTAAATTGTGAAATTCTGGCTTGCAGAAGGTTATGGACGACAGTGGGAGCCCAAACTTCATTGGCAGGAATGGAATACCGTATATGCTCATGTATAAGCCGAGTTTTTCAGCACAGTTTTAGTGCCATTTTTGTGGTAAAATTAGGTGCTTCAGGTGATACTCAGGTGGGCATGTACTTGAGTATATACAGTAAGCGTCCACTGATTTCCCTCTGACCATAATTGAGGGTGGGAATAACCTGGCTATCAGACAAAGTACTGTAGAGGCAACTATAGTACATTAAAACGAAAAATCTGACTTGAATAGTTAAAACCTTGTCATTTTATCTCCCTTTGGATACACTTTAAGCTTGATTTTTATTTTTTAATATTTGGTTCTTAATATTTTTGGTGCTTGTTTTTCAAATTGGGGTTTATCTGTCGTCTTTTGTTACTGGTCTTGACTCTCTGTTATATATTTTTTCTCTTTTTCAGTATATGAAACCCAGGATGGGTGAACTGATTAACTAAATTAAGGATTTCTGTGGGGTACGGCGGGAGAGTCAGGTGGGGTAATGGGGAGCTTAGATGGAGGAGGACAAGAAGGAAGACAATGTTTTGAAACTCATGGTGGTAGCCATTGTACAACGCTGAACTATTGAATGGTATGATGTCTGGATTATGTCCTCATAAAATGGTTTTAAATATAGATAGATAAAATTATTATCTCCAGGCAAGAGTTTCAGGGATTCATGCAAATCTCATGCGTCCAGAGTGTCTCGCATCCACAAGAAGTTGAAATTCAGTTCTGCATGTTTCTCCTTTTGATTAGGATTCTACTATGGAATCTTGGGTCCGATGCCCGGTCCAGTTCTACAGATCTCCCGGCAAATGTGGCAGTGCTTCCTGGAGGCAATTAGCCTCACATTTCTTACCATCTGCAGGTTCCTGACACTCCCTCTGTTGCTCTAGGCACGCTCTCTGCCATCCGGTCTATTCTGAATCTGAGTGACCCTACAAGACAGGCTGGAGCTGCCCTCATGTGTTTCCAGGACTGTCCATCTTCACGAGAATCGAGCTTCATCTTTCTCCCTTAAAGTAGCAGGTGGTTTCGAATTGGGGACGTGGTAGTTAGCAGCCTAATGCATCACCCACCGCCTCCAGGGTTTCCTTTCCTGCAAGCAAATAGAGACCAAATGCACCTTGGATGGCCACGTGTAAGCTTTTAAGATGCCAGGCACTACACAGGGAGCCAGGAAGTAGCACAGAAACGCTGAACATGCTCTTGGGCCTGGATGACGAGGCTATTGCATGAAACGATGGCCCTACACCTCCAACCAAAGAACCAAATCCCATGAGTGTTTGGGTGAACGGCAGCAGGTTGAGCGAAAGCCTCCCTTTCGCCTTTTGTTATCTGTGTAAATGTGTCTGCCAGACAACTCTCACCAAGGCAACGTTTCACAAGTGCCTAACGTCCTAGCAGCCGCGGCAAAACGTAACCAGAAAGTGCACTTCGTAACTTTACCTTGGCAAAACTGATCTCTTTGATAACACAGGGCTGGTTATCTGCTTTCCCCTTGGCCAAGTACGCTTTCCCATAGGAACCTTCTCCGATGGCCTTGATCACATCATATTTGTCCATGGTCTCCTATGCCAAGGTTCCTGGAAATAAAGGAATGACATTTTCCCTCACACTTTTCAGAAAGACCCAACTGAGAACACTGATGACTCAAAACTGAAAGCTCTTAATTTTCCTAAGACATCCAACTTTGCCAAGACGGATTGAAGCCTTTTCTGGGCGGGGGCGGGGGAGGGAGAGGGGGGGAGCATCAGATAGACATCAAAGCGAGAGGAGACAGGCTTCTTAGTGAACTGAGGTCAGACTTGGCTGGTAACTGAGCTCAGATACATTCTGTTGTGATCTCAGGCACTAACCCCAAAGGCCTCCCTTTCCAGACTTCTAAAATAGAAATAACAATACATGTGTTATAAAAGGCTAATGTGAAAGATCATACACCCTCCTATCCAAGCCTGACATCGCTATAAAGCAGGCTGTCATTCTCCCTGTCTTATGACACTGGCTGGGTGGCACTGTTAAGGGGCTTGGGGTTTTAGGCTTGAACGGTTTTACAATCCAATCTTCCTCAGCGTGGTGGTACTGACCCCTAGTGCGATTTTGGAAACGTGTGGAGGAGGCCTGGTTGCCAGGTTTGGGCTGCTAAGGCTAGCTCAGTCGTGTGAAGCCACCAGCAGCTTCAGTGGACAGGGATGTGGTTTTCTACTGATTCACAGGACCAGAAGCCCACGGGGCAGCTGTACTGTCAATGGACCCCATGGCAGTAGTGAGTGAGTGAGAGGTTTACAATCTCAGAAACCCACAGGGGCAGTACAACTCCATCTTAAAAGGTCACTGTGGGTTGGAATGGATTCAATGGCTGTGAGTTTGTTTTGTTTTATCCTTCACAAAGGAACTCTGAGGGTGCAGTGGGTTAAGCGTTGAGCTGCAACAGTGGGATTGGCGGTTCAAACCCACCAGCCAGCTCTGTGGCAGAAAGATAAGGCTCTGTGTTTTCGGATTCACGGTCTCCAAAGGAGTTCTACTCGCAATGAGTAAAATGAACCTGACGGCAGTGGGTTTGTTTTGATTGGGGGCTTGCTTTGGGGGTTGGGCTCCATCCTTTAGAGATGGGAAGTCGGTGTGCTACAAATGGGAAAGTATTTCGCGGCTAACCTTGGAGATTGACGGCTGCCCAGAGGCACCTCAGAAGAAAAGCCTGGCGTTCTATTTCTGAAAAATCTGCCTGACAGGGGAGGAGGAGAGACTGGAGCACATCCTGGCCCACCAAGCCTTGAGGACGATGACCCCAAATAGAGCAGCCAATCCACAGAGGACCACATGGCCAGCCCTACTATAAGACATGATGCCCCTCACTGACC